AAAAAAAAAAAAAAAAAAAAAAAAAAGGAAAAAGGAAACGATAATAGTATTTGGTTCATGAGGAAACCAAAACCTAATGTTAACAATGAAACCAAACCCTAATGTTAACAATTAAACCAAAACCTGATGTTAACAAGGAAGTCAAAACCTGATGTTAACAATGAAACCAAAACCTAGTATTAACAATGAAACAAAAACCTAATGATAACAAGGAAACCAAAATCTGATGTAAACAAGGAAACCAAAACCTAATGTGAACAACGAAACCAAAACCTGATGTTAACAAGGAAACCAAAACCAAATGTTAACAAGGAAACCATAGACTTATATAACAAGGCAACCATAGACTTATATCACAAGGAAACCACAAACTTGTATAACAAGTAAACCAGTGACTAGTATAACAATGTAACAATAGACTTATATTACAAGGAAACCACATACTTCTATTACAAGGAGACCATAGACTTCTATCACAAGGAAACCACAGACTTGAAAACAAGGAAACAATAGACTTATGTAACAAGGAAACCACATACCTTTATTACACGGATACCAAATACTTAAAGCACAAGGAAACCACAGACATATATAACAATGAAACCATAAACTTATATAACAAGGACACCATATACCTCTATCACAAGGAAACAACTACAATATTATGTACACAATGAGACCATCAACTCATATAAGAAGAAAACTACAGTATTATAATATAAAGGAACCCATAGACTAATATACACAAAAAAACTACAGCAGTATAATGTCAACAATAAACCCATAGACTAATATACATTAGAAACTACAGTATAATATCTGCAAGGAACCTGTAGATTGATATAATAAGAAATAATATACAGCATTTATATAGCGCCCTATATAATTTGTTAAATTACTCTAAGGCGCTTTACAACATATGGATAATAGTAATGGTTATAATTGTGAAAACAAACAACAAAGGCTTGCAATCACTTTCATACATTTAACAAGCAATGTGCACATAATTGAACAAATAAAAGGATGGTATTACCATGAACTCTTAGCAAAGATTCTAAAATGCAGACGTGAAGAGGTGAGTTTTTATGTCCCTCTTGAATTTGGCCAGGGTATTTGACTTCCTAATAGCAGATGGTAAGCTATTCCACAACGTAGCCGAAACCCT